ATTCAGCTAAACTAATATTGCATCTTAGGACTAGTAGTATAAAATTTTTATAATTTATACAGATGTTGACAATTATTTATGTCAAAAGTAAGACATATTACAAAATATACTGACCTGCATCTTGTCATATTGTTGAGAAACAAATGCTCCACTTATTGGTGCTTACTGTGTTAATTTTCACATAGATACAAATTTGCTTTTATTTAGCATTTTTATGTAAAAAAAACTAATGTAAAGAACTAATTATTAATAATATTATTTAGGAATTATTTAGTGAATTTGGACCCTTAAAATCAGCAGCGGTACATTATGATAGATCAGGTCGATCTCTAGGCTCTGCAGATGTTATATTTGAGAGACGAGCGGATGCTATCAAAGCAATGAAACAATATCATGGAGTACCATTAGATGGTATGTACTTAAATTCATGTATGATTGTATCCATTCTTAAATGTCTTTTTTTTAACTGTAAAGTTATTTTGTCTACAATTATATATATTTAAGTGATAATATCGCTTGTTAGTTTAGTTTTCCATTTTATATTTTGTGATATAGAGTTTACGCTTTTATCATAACTATAAATATTTTTGCAACATAGGATAATAAAGAAAATAATTTTCTTAGAAATTATGATTTATGCGAATGTTCCGTATTTTGTTACAATATACAATATACATCAATATTAGGTCGTGAAATGAACATACAAGTTGCGACTTCTGAACTACCAATCACTTCTATTCGTGGTGGTCCAAGACTTAGTGGTGCTAATTATACACAGAGACCTCAGACTCGTTTCAGAGGGAATCGCGGATCTGTGAGAGGTAATTTATTCATACATTAATGCAATTTATATTTATATTTACTCAATTTGTGCAACTGATAGCTTAAAATTATATTTTACACTGAGTTAATTTATTATACATTAATGCAATTTGCATTGATAATTTTTTTCAATTAACTTGTGCAATAAAGAAATTAATAACTCAATTATGTATTATACTGAAATAAATTTGTTATATTAAGTATATATATTTTTCAGTTTTTTATTAATTATGCAAATACTATAACTTTATAAAATTGAAGGTCGTGGCAATGGAGGCCGGCGTGGAGGTAGAGGAGGCACTCGGCAAGTGACAAAGACACCCACAGCTGAAGAACTAGATGCAGAATTGGAAGCTTACGTGAAGGAAGTCAAGTAACAACACCACAAAACACTTTATTATATTAAAACTATTCAGATTTTGTTCAATCTGACTTAACACAATATACATTGTAGTCCTTATTTTCATAAAGTATAAATATAATCCTACCTACTATCTACTAAAATATTATAAGGAAATTTCTCATTAATTTAGTTTTTATTTTTGACGATTCTTTTGAAAATTGGCATAAAAAAATAAATTTTACAAAATCTTTGCAAACATTATTCGTAGGCGTTTTCTCTTATACATTTTTTATGATACAGTAATAAGAAAATTAAGGAAGAACAAACCCTGATTGTAAAGACTGTATGGATTTGTATTTACTACCGTGCGTGTGTGCTCATCAGATGAAAAATACAATGAGATGCATCTCGAAAAGTTGTTGTTTATCAAAGTACGGAATGTGCTTCAAAGCCCTCATAATCTGATTATTCTAAGTGTCAAAAAATTGATTTACTATATTGTTAGGGTAGTATACCGTTGGCGGCTCACTTTAGAATATAAACAATCCTACTTTTGTACTTTGACGGATTGTTTTTTTAGCATAAATAAATATCGCATCCCTATACGTAGCGCATAGCTTATAGTGGACTAAGGCTGTGACATACTGTTAACTAGTCAAGTACCAATATATACAGTGATAGATATGTAAGAAAATGTATACATTTTTAAACAATGCAGCATATAAATTGCAATCTCAAATGGTGCAAGACTGAAGAAAAACTGACAACAGATTCTCTTAATAAAAAGAATTATTTTCAAAAAGTTTTTATTATTTACCTTAAAGACTTGTTAATGTTAAAAATTTTTCAAGTGTTTTTTAACGTATTGCTATTTTGTTATTGTGCAAAAATTTATTTTAAAGATAATTTTAGTAAAGATACATATATACAAGGTGTACGATACCAAACGCATCATATAATAGCACATTTCTGAAATAATTTTAAATTTAAAAATGTTAATACCAAAATGTCAAAGCTACAATAATTTTTAAATATAAACCATTTAAAGTTTGCAATTAGATTGCTTCAAATTTGCGTGCTCAAGCATGGTACATCGCGTAGTAATCAGGGTACTCTCAGATATCGATTTGTTTTTAAATACAAATATAATTTTACGTACAATAATTAAGAAACCACTTCTCAGAATTATCTTAATTATATGCAATTAATTAATCTGTTGTATGTATTAATAATATTAAAAATATGGAAAATATTAATGTTACAATGATGTCATATGAAGTATGTTATAGGCTGTGTTCGCTTTGCTTGCTTTTGTGCTGAAAGCGTACAAGCGTCGCTTTTACTGTTTATCTTGGCGCTTTCGGGCGCTGTCAGTACAATAATAACGTCATAATTCGAAAGCGTTTACGTCATCATTTCTCGCTTAACTCGCTTTTTCAAACGAGATAAGGCAATGAAAGTGTAAGCGCTGTCAGCCAAAACAAACGCAAAATGAACATTGTAAGCAAGTGAATAAAAATTGAAGAACGCTTATAAAGTTTTGAACTGAATGGTCAAAAATGGAAACATATACAATAACGAGAGGGGAAAGGGTGGGATTCCAATACAGGAAAAACTTACGATATTCAATTAAGAGGATCCCAGATAACCAAGCGTGCGATTTCCGCACAAAATACCGCTATCATACTGTTATTGTACTGCCGCGAGATGGCGGCGTACGGCGTAACTGTACGGTAGCGGTACAAAAAGTATATATGATATTATAGTACAGCGTATCATCATTGTACCTATACTGCATATTGTTCGGTACATATCGCACAATAGAAACTGTACCGTACCATTACGGCGTACATCTACATAAAACTAGCCGACAGAATTATTAAATTTAATTATTTTTAACTTTTCTGAGTGTATTTTGTTTGTAAATTTGTTTGTGATTGATTGTGAGTTTGTTCATAATGTTTGTGACAAATTAGTTTTTTTGATAGTAATTAATAATTTTATTTTAGTCATGCAATGTCAGCCGACCACTTTTTTAGTATAACAGATATTTTGTGATAACTGATAACTGTAATTAATAGGCAATCCTTTGTGATTTACAAATATACTAATGTTACGTTTGCAAATTGATAAATATCTTAATTACTTGCAAAATAAGTTTATTTTATAATTGTATTGTGCATGCGCATCCGTCACGCGT